ATATTGTAAAAGTTAACTATAACCGAATAAAAGGAGCTGGCCAAGAGGCCACCTTAACACTAAAAAAAAAAAAAAAAGTATAAATAACACACCCAATAACAGCACGTAATTTATATATACCTGACTTATTGACTTATACAAGGGTTATTTCATTAAACTGAAGAGAAAATAAAGACAAGGCGCTATTAAAAATGGTTAAAGGTAGTGTCAGCTAAAGGCTCTATACAAATAGTATGCCCAGTATTAATATTACTGTAATGATTTATGTAAGTTGTACTAGCAAAAACAATTTTAATCAAAAATTTGTAGACAAATTTGCCTGCAAAACAGTTTAAGAGATAAATAATCCTCTAATTAAGGCCCTGACTATTCATGGCGCATCCATGCTAATATGGACTTTTTGTGCTAGATCTGGTTTCAAAAATTTAGATCTGTGTGTATATTTGCCACCCAAATGCCAAAATATAAGACCCAATTCCAAATCCCAAATCCCACCATCAAAATCTTAAAGTCAAAAATAGAACAAGTACCAAATTAGATATAAATCCCAAATTAGGTCCAAATTCCAAATTAGATACAAATTTCAAATTAGCGTTAAGTACAAATTCCAAATTAGATACAAAATTTAAATTCAATTAAAATCCCAAATAGCATCAGACAACATTCTAAATTAAAAATAACTTTTATATATTCAAACTATTTGAGATAACAGAGTTATGAAGAAAATAATCACTGATATTAATTTTATATAATAAATCAGCCAGTACTATATATTATAAATTGCTTATTTTCTTGAACATTATAGATTAAACATCATTAAATATATAAAACATTGTGAAATAAAAATCTTTGGATATTTTATTTGATGCCGTTTGTACTATAGATTAGATTTTTTAATATAAAACTCATTATAATATAAATCTCATTATGTAATCTCATAAAATCAATAAGCAGACTGCTAAAAAAAAATACAAATTTATTTATTCTAATTTATCAAGCAAAGTATCAATATCATAATTAGGATCACCATGATTAATAACATCAGAATTACTAGAACTATTATCATCATTATTATTTAATATTCTATACTCTAAACAAATAAAATTTTCTATATCTAATTGCGAAATATTTTCATTTTCAGCATCTGACAATTCTTCTTTATTCGATTCTTCATAAGCAAATTCTTCTTCCTTATAGTCATTTTCATTATTACCATCAAACATATCACACTCTTCTATCATAGCATATGTGATTTCATCAAAAACTTGCATTAATTTGTCTTGTGAAATTTCTGATTTAACAAACTTAAGTTCATTTCTTGCATTAGTAACAAGGTATAAGTAAATTTGTGCCATACTTTCTAGATATGATATATTAATCCTAAACACAAAATAATAAATATTAAAACTAAAATTATAATTAAACATAATTTAGAAAATTTTATTACTTTGTATGATGTTTTTCCATATACCAGTTTAGAATAGAGAAAACATGTTCACAAACTGTATTATGAGGTGTAATTGCATTTAATCGTAAAACTAAAGTGCGAATATAGTCTTCATTTTTTTGCAATTCACAGGAATTCTACCAGTTACGAATATTATCAACTAATTCAATAAATTTATCTTTAAATAGAGGCTCCTGGTTTTTGTATAATCCCATTTGTGTTCTCAAAATTTCTGTGCTAGTTACTTCACCACCAAACTGCTTCCAAAGAGTTAATGCTGTTTTGACTGTTTATCTGTATATTTCAAATTGAAAAAGATCTGCTAATTATATAGATTATTGATAAAAGTAAATTATTATATTGATAAATTGATAAAAGTAAATAATTATATTGATAAATTAATAAAAATAAATTATTATATTAATAAATTGATAAAAAGTGAATTATTTAATAATTAAGATTTTTTAATCAAAATTTACTTACCATGATATTTGGGGTGTAGAAAAAATACTAACATATATATTTCTGTATCAAACTGCTTTCAATGTTTATTAAAAATTTTAAAACATTGTTCTCTTAGTAAAAAATTAAATTGTGAAATTTCTTTAATTGCAGTAGCAAGTTTAATTAGTTTTACAAAAACATCCACCATTGAAGTAGATGTAAATTCAACATTTTTTACAGAACATTTTGCTGGGCTTAATATATTACGCAATTATTCAATATCAATCCAAAACTGCCAGCTACGTAATAAAGCTTGAACTTCATTTGCTAAATTAAAAATATTTGATTCTTTGTCTAAAATCTAAAAAAAAATTAGATTATTTTTTAATTTAGTTTATTTAATTATAACTGCTCACCAATTTTATACTATTTTCTAAATGTAACATTGAATCATATACATCCCAAGCTATTGA